TACTTTGAAAATATATAAAATAGAAGTTGAAAAATTAGAATATATTGTTTATATTGTTCAACAATCGGTTTTGGTGGCCAACAATTGGTTTAAAGTCAGGCGATGCAAAATTTTACATATGAAATATATGTGGTGTAACTGATGCCGATCATTCCATAAAATAGAAAGCCCCGCTACGTTACACTGATCATTATTAATGTTAACGTCAATGATAAGAAATGCCTGAGGCGAAAAAAGCAACGCAACTATTGGAGATATCGTGTGCTTGGACAATTTGGAAACAACTCGATATACAACATTTGATCATTGGATGGAAACTTATAAATGCTAAAGTGTATTTCTTCAGGGCTCAAATATTAAAACATTACAATTACTCTCTTATTCCCCACACACATAAGGCTAATATGACCTGGGCCTCAATGATACGATGATGCAATTAAATCGTAGCTCAGAGGTTTATCGAAATGGCAACATTGTTAAAGGAGACTTCCAAAGCCTCTCGCTTGTCCAAAGGCTTCCGACGCATCGGAGGTCTCACCCGTGAAAAAATTCCATAGATATAAAGTGTGTGAGAGTACATGACTGGATTTTTCGATGGAGAAAATTTTCGTATGATCAAGGTTGGCGTTGGACATAATTATTATTATCCTACACCTCTAGATCCGAATCCAACAACCTTCCATTTCAATCACCAATTTAACCACTATCATCTGACTTACCATCATCAAGAACTCCAAGTCATAATACACCTTACAACTCCAATCTTGCTGTCTATGACTTATTCATTTTACTTTTTTGGGAATGGTTTTAAGGAGGAATTCTACAATTTATAATTGGGAGAGAAATAATTTTTGAGAGAATTTTGGAATAGAATTATTATATTTATTATTTATTTATTATTTATTTATTATTTATTTATTTTGGTTCCATAAGTTTCATTTCTTACTTATTTGGATATAACATTAACACATTACATAATAATAATCAAAATTATTCACGTCTGAGGGGAAAAAAGACAAGTAATAATTTATTTATTTGGCCACTCTGGCGTAAATCTATTATTACAATTGCTAATATTGGTAGTACCACCTTCATTTTTTTTTCTTTTTCTCTATCCCTTTTATAATTCTTTTTTTGTTTTTTTTTTTTTGTAGTGAAGGCAGCAATTCCCTTTCATTCTCTATATAGCACACAATTTGTGGATTACCAAATGAAAAAAATATGGATTCAGCTAAAGAATTGTTTGGAATCCTCCCACACCTTTTAAAATTTCCATCAAGTTTGATTATTTTATCAATCTTTTTGTTGATATCATAGAGTTGATTTTTACAGGTTTGATAAGATAGTAAGTAGAATAGTTGGTCCAATCAACAATCCACAAAAAAATAGGTTTTTTTTATAATGCTGATTTTGATTTGAGTTTTGCTTTAAAAATGTAAAATAGCAGTAAGAATTACGACAATGATTCTTTTTAATATCATTGGTAAAAAAAAAATCATATTTCAATTTTAAATTTTACGGAATTTTCTCGCGAAAAATAAAAAATGGGCTGTAATTTCTTGTGATATCATAAATGTTCAACTTTGTCCGGCTTTTCCATTTAATCCATTTTTGTCATTATTAATAACAATGAATAGATTAGGTTTTTTTATATATTTTGAGTAAAAATTGTTACACATGTTTTCAAACATAAAGTAAATATTTCAAGCCTTTCTACTAGATCCAATTTCTTTGCCGATTATATAATCTTTGTATTATTTATTTAAATAAAAATTTGGTAGTCCATATTAATATTTTGCATAAAGGTGCAGCACGAAATTTTTATTACACGAG